AAAGAACAAGTAGGATCTGTCAGCAGAAGAAAGAACAAGTAGGATCTGTCAGCAGAAGAAAGAACAAGTAGGATCTGTCAGCAGAAGAAAGAACAAGTAGGATCTCTCAGCAGGTAGTGTAACCAACAAGTCGGCAGTTTGGTTCCACAAATTTGTGTTTGTTGATTTCAGAAGGTAAACCTAACAGGTACCCCTTCATCATATATTTAATTCATTTCAAAGGCAGACTACTTTGACCATGTCTGTCAGGACCAACCAATGCTGTATGGGGAAACAATATTCCAACTGACAGATGGAGAAACTCTCAATAAAACAACTTCTCCAAACAAGAAAAGAAGCCCCATCTTCAGCACCCGTGAAGAACCTTACCATTACACCACAGACACAGGTTAACAAGCACTTCTCTAAAGACAAAAACAAATCAATTGCTGGATGTAAGACTCCAGCAAACACGATTTTTCATTTTGGCACTCGTCTGACTCTTGCAACCAGCCATAGAAATGTACAAAGAAGGTCACTCACTAGAAGTACTCTACAAAACTATGTGCAAAGAAGGCAAGTACTCAAACAAATAAAAATGAAAAAAGAAGGCCACTCTGATACACAAGCAGTACTCTACAGACAAGGATAAATAATTGAGAAAGAAGGCCACTCTGATACACAAGCAGTACTCTACAGACAAGGATAAATAATTGAGAAAGAAGGCCACTCACTCAGAAACACAAGCAGTACTTTGAAGACAAAAAAATATATTGTGCAAAGAAGGTCAGGACCCAACAAATATTTTTTTAAAAGGACACAGAAATCCATTCACTCAAATACACAAGTAGTACTTTTCAAAGACACATAAATGTACACAAAAGGCCAGTTCACTACAAAGAGAAAAAAATGTACAAAGAAGGCAACTCACTCAGAAACACAAGCAGTACTTTGAAGACAAATACAAATAATTGACAAAGAAGGCCACTCACTCTTGTCCTGTTTGAGCCATGAGTCCGGGATAGCCTCCCCCTGTCGTATCCTGTCGAGGGAGGCCAGGAGGCTGTCAACACAGCAGACACTGGAGTACAGGATACCCGGGTCAGCGCAGTGACTGCACTGCTGGACCGAGTCCACCAACCTGCACATGACATAGAATCAATGAAATGGCCAACCATGAAATGAAATTCATTTTGATTGGAGTTTTTAGTTTAGTTTAGTAGAGGTTTTACAGTGCTCGCAACTGCATAAGATCATAATATGAGCGCCAGAAGATTAGAAGTGTTAAAAGAGAGCAACAAACATAAAAAAGAAGAAGGGGAGATAAGGACGATTATGTTTGATAGGAAAGAAGAAGCAAACACACCAAAGCACCCGCTAACCACCCACGGTTAGAGTTTTAAAGCACTTGCAACACAATTAGCTCATATAAGTGTCAAAGATTAGAGGTGTTGCGAGAGAGTGACAAACACAACAAAAAAACAAAACAAAACAAAAAAAACTAGGAGGAGAGATAAGGATATTTGTTTGACAGGAAAGGAGGAGCAAACCACACCAGAGCATCCACCAACACATGACACAGTATCAATGAAATGGCCAAATATAACATGAAATTAAAAACAGAGAAACGAAAAAGCACAGTCAAAAATGTCCAAATTTGCAACCCACTGTCGAGGATTAAAGAGGATGTCTTAGACAAGGAGACGTCTTTGACGGTGTCAATATGATCTGGAAAAAAGTCAAAAGGGGAAGTGGGAAGTGGCTGTTTGTACAGGTTATTGTCTTGGACAGGTGACTGATAGAGCAGGTTTGACTGTATTTGTAAATTGTAGTTAACAACAAATCAGTAAAATAAGTCACAATTCACTTAGAAGCAAAATAGGACAGCTATAACGCCAAAAGAAGCATTAGGATGCTAGAATCTACTATGAATATATCCCAAAGAACAATTACTGCATGGGCAGAACGATGAAAATGTTTGATGAAAATATTGACCCAAGTTCTGTATAATTGAGAGTGGAAAACTAGACATAGACAAAATCAGACATGTGCAGACAGTAGTTTTAGTTGCCATCAAAGTTTGGCGCATTGAGCTTTGCTGTAGCAAACCAACTCAGAGGTCTCTTGACAAAATCCAGAATCAAGCTGTATGATTTATCTCTGGAGCTTTGAGATCCACTCCAATTGCAGCTTGTGAAATCCATACGAACCTGGAACTCTTGGACTTGCGGAGAGAGGCAGCAGTTGTGGAGATGAGTGAGCACTACAAAAGACTAGAGAAAAACCACCCAAACAGGAAAATAATTGAACAGAGACGACCGAAGAAACGGATTCATGGAAGATCAATACTTGACACAGCCACTGAACTAGCAGAAAAACACCATCTTCCATGTAACAGAGAAATGCTGAAACCCTTAAGACCAGAACTCCCCCCCAACACTAACATCAAGAATGCCAACATCAAAACCTCCCTCATAAAAGAGACAGTGAAAAAGGAATGTGACCCAGTAGAACTGAAGACAACAGCTCTGAAGACAATTGACTCCTACCCTAGTGATTCAATTTATATTTATACAGACGGGTCAGCCTTCAAGGGAACTATAAACGCAGGCTTTGGGGTAAGAATTAAACATCCTGACAAAACATGTGAAGAGTTATTTGATGCATGTGGTACTTCTTGTACAAATTACGAGGCTGAGGCAATCGCCATTGAAGCAGCAATCCTCCACCTGACCAACATTTTCATAATGCATCCAAACAAAATCAAGAACACTGTTATATTCACAGACGGAAAGCCAGTACTCCAAGCTTTGGAAAACATGAATTTCGAAAGCCCAGCCTGCCTATCCGTGGCTCAAACAATCAATACGTTAATACAGACCTATGCCGTCGACCTGACACTACAGTGGATACCTGGCCACAGCAACATCCCAGGAAACGACAGAGCAGACACTCTTGCCAAGAAGGGAGCATCACAAACACAAACCTCACAACCCAGTATCACAACAGACAGCCAAGAACATCATCAGATGCAACACCAGGGAACAGTGGCTGAATGGATGGGCAATGGGCAAAACTGTAGGAACTGTATTTGCACACATGACAGCCCCAAACTCTAAAGATGCAATAAATTCCCTGAGTAGAAGAGAACAAGTCACGATATTTCGCCTGCGAACACAACACATACCACTAAATTCCTACCTTAATAGGATCCGCAAGGATACCCCACCCGACTGCCCATTGTGCGACTGCCAGGATGAAACAGTACCACATCACCTCTTTAACTGCCCAGCACTTTGTGACCTGCGTAGCATCTACCTACCTGCCTCCCCAGATATCGGAAACACTCTATACAGCGACAAAGCACAGCTGATTAAAACCTGTCAATTCTTTGCCATATCAACAGACCGAAGGGCTACAACCCAAATGGCTGCTGGATCGGAAAAGTAAAGTAAAGTAAAGCTTTGCTACTGTTCTTAATATAATACATTTCATCTGGTGATTTAAGCTTGAAAAGTTGAGCAGGTTATTTTATCTGAGGGCAGCATTAGTATAAAAAAGAAATTAAAAAATTCATATTGCTTTGATACATCTCCATTTCAACCGCAAATCAACAACTTTTGACTTATCCCCATAAGAAGTAAATTTGTCTAAGGAGAGAACTATCCCCCCTGAATCGAAAGAACTTACAATTTGATCAGTGCCAAATTTGTTTGACCACGGGCTTTCTCCCCTGCAGCACCGCTGGAGCCAATCAATGATATCACTTTCTGGGGCTCTGACATCAGCTGAAAATATAATAATTTTTTTTTAATAGTAGAGGGTTTTACGGCGCTCGCAACAGCATAGGTCATATGAGCCCCAAGGGGCGGGTGTCAACAGAGTAGTCTTTACAGGGAATCAGACTTACTCTGCTCACCTCTCTTGCCTCAACAGTACAAAGTCTGCTTCGACTATCAAGGCACCCCGGAAATAGCAGGTCACAAGAATGTGACAAACATATAAAAGAAGTAGAGGAAAATGACAATAGTAAAGATTAGGAAAGAAAAAGCAGCAGTTCCGTGTTGTAGATCAGGCACAGTTATGAGCGTGACATGATGAATCAGCCCATTTACAATTCTACTGTGCATGAACGAGAAATGTCCCCCCTTTGGGAATGGCCTAAAGACACTACAGTCAGTGGCACTGTCCCGGGCGGTGTGAAAATATTTGGAAGTTTTTTCAAATGCTGTAGTGTTTACATGTAATAGTCTTAAAAGTCTTTCCTTTTAGTATTAGTGCAAGTTTAACAGCACTTGCAACACAATTAGGTCGAATAAGTGCCGACAATTAAATGTGTTACACAAGAGTAACAAATACAAAAAAGAAGCAAGAAAATTTTGAGTTGTTAAGGCTATCAATCCATTAATTTGGTAAAACGACATAAGAATCTCAAAAAATATCCTGCACTGAGAATAAATTAAAAAATTAAACACACTTCCACTGATCATGTCATACCCTTTCATTCGTTCAATTTCCACCAATTCCAATACATCATAACATACCTCCTTGACCACTCGGAGCGCATCGTGGCGGTTCTGCGGCAGAGGGAACATCAACATCTTGTGGAACAGAGACTCTAGCACAGGCCTCAGAGCTGGGATCTCTCCAACCAGGCTGGCCAACTCACCAGCAATGCTGGAAACACAGAAGGAACTCACAGTGCTAATACTTTGAACCTCAGTCAAAAATCAACTATTCAAAGTTGTGCAATGGAATAAGCAATATACTGGATTTTTTTTACACCGTTACAGAAATGATATATCAAAAAAGAAAAACAAGTTTGTCAGAAAACTAAAAATACCGGAGAAGTAATAATAGCAAATACCATGATTCCATAGAAAAGTATTTATAAAAAGCTACAGTTCTGCCGCAGCTGTATTGTTATTTCAAAACATGAAAAGACGACAACAGTCTTCAAAAAACGTATCAAACCCTTTAATAACTCCAAAAGAAAGAAATCATGTTTTAGACTATAATCCACGAGCCAGCACAACAACACTTTACATTCCAGTTGGTAGAGATGACGCAAAAGTAACAGTGTAGCCAGTGCACTCTTATGAGATTCATGTCCGAGTTTGTATGACTTACAGAATGACTGTGACTCATTTGGCTGGATGTCAAATTTGCTCCAATCATTTAAAATCAAATGTTTATGTGTTTTCTTTGCAACCCGAAGTGGACAAACGTGGCGTATCAATGTCAAAATTTTTTAAGATTCCGATGAAATAGACTTGCACGACGTCTCTTCACTTTTACACCCACACACAAAGTGTGTGCAATGGTAAGTCCACATAAATCAAAGGCCAAGTCTTCGTTTTATTAAGCATTTTACAGCACCTGCAACACAATTAGTTCATACAAGTGTCCAAGATTAGAGGTGTTACAAGCAAGTAACAAACACAAAAAAGAAGGAGAGATAAGGAGGACATATGTTTTATAGAAAAGAAGCAGCAAATCACACCAAAGCACCCACAAACACCCACTAGGTCAATTCTAAAAAAAGTGAGCCCTGTCTGATCCTTCTCTTCACCAAAATTGATCCTCGCAACTGCACTACTGAATGAATGTACACAGCATTTAACACTGAAAACATGTTGCGTTAGAGTTCAACTGAGCACCAATAAACAACCTATTAAGGGAGTTACGGGCTCAAGACAAACACCTATGCAATTAAGAATATTTTTTCTCGAATTATAGACAATAACTCACACAGGTTTATTTGAACAGTTCTGAGACAACCAGGCACTCACTTATAGATGACCTTGGCAGCGGCATGAGTAATGTGAGGGGAGGAAGTGGACGATCCTCCTGTCTTTGCGACTTCTGGTCTTCCTGTCTTCTGATTGGCTATCTTCTCAGCCTTTGGCTCACCCAGCAGTACAATCAAGCATGGACAAAGACGTTTCCTGAAAAGAAAAATTTCTCGTTGAACCTTATGAACCCAATCTTTCTTCTTCTCCTACCCCTGCTAGAGCTCAGGGTGCATTTCTTCTCACATTGCAGTTAATTGTTACCAACATGGTATTTTATCTACATAAAATGTAAAATCATCCTTCGCCAGACAAGCAGTTCTGTGCTGCTTTCATATGTATGTACACTGTCAACCAATACATTCAAGTAGACAGCAATGAAGAAAACAAATGAAGGATACAAATAAAATTCAAATCTTTTTCATTTATTTCACAGGATTTGACTTTGTCTCTGCTCGGTGTCTGAATATTTCATGACATAATAAGAAAGGCACTTTCAATGTCATGGTACAAAAGATGCCAAACGTCCTGCCAGCTTCCAATATCATAGCTATCAGTCTGAATATGGTCAATTACAGGATAGCCTACTTTAGAGAAGACATATACAAACTGTTATTTCTGTCTCATAACCTCAGAATTACAAAATTCTATCGGACATTTTGGGGCGTTTTGAGTTACTAAGACCATGCGATAAAAAACCAAATGTTTTATCTGCTCTATCCAAATCGTAGAAAATTCAGAGTATCTATCAAAATATTCAAAGAATTGCATTTGATAAAGCTTGAAATGATAAGAAACTCAAAATCTTTGACATCAAATTTCTCAATACTAGGAACTGAGCAAATAAAACTTTGTAATTCTGAGGTAACAAAATGTCACTGTACTCACCACAGGAGTTCCTGGAAACCTGGGTTATGTTTGATGGCCACGGGTACTTTTTCTAGGATGGTGTTCACACTTTCCAGTAGCACGGGCAGAGCTTGCTTGCCATGCCCCGAACTAAAAATTAAGTAAGAAAACAAAAGAAGGTGACTGGTTGGAAATAACTGTAAATATTGTAAGTACCCATAAACACACTAGATAATTTAGGAGAGGATTGTTTCAACCTTGCCTTTCAGAACTAACCCAGGCTGAGGGTTATTTTGGTAAGAGTTTTACTGCACATCCACCACAGTCACCAGAGAAGTATAGAGATTTATTACCATATTCCGGCAACATTAAAATAACTCCTGAGACTTTCTATGACTACTTTTTTCGCAAATCTAATCATATTTACCCATATTTTCTCTCATAACCTCTCTCAGAAGTCCACCATGGAAGCATGGATCTTGAAAAAAAACCAGAGAGAGAGAGAGAGAGAGAGAGAGAGAGAGATA